AATCTGTTCTGCTGTAATTCTTATGAAGAACCATTTTCACACTTAACTGAAGAAGTGCGACAATATTATCACCGCTATCAGTCAGTTAGAGTTATTGATTATTGTCTCATGTTTAACGAAGTTGTAGTGTCCAAAAGTCTCTGGAATCAAGTGCAAAGTCAGTTTCATATTGGTCATCCAGACATCAGTTGAATGAAGTTATTAACACGTGGCTATGTTTTTTGGCCTGCAGTGAATCAGGATATTGAGTATAAGTACCTAAGTTGTACCAGTTGCATACAAGCAGCAAGAAATTCAGTAAAGTTTGTACAATATCATTTTGCTCAATGACTGGATCGCTGTAACATTCAATATATGTAGATTTACCAGGACCTTTGCAGAGGAAAATGTAATTGATCATTATTGATGCTTAAACGACTTGTCACAAAGTACAGCAGAATCTATAGTTACAAAACTGGTGGATTTGTTTATCAGCTTCAGTGTTTCCGAAACCTTGGTAGCTGATAATGTACTCAATTTCCGTTTTCATGGCATCTTAGAACTTGTATATAATTAGTTCTATTCAGCATTTTTGTGCAGTACCTTATCATCGGTCGAAAAGGCAAGTAGACACGATTTCGGATACTTTTGAGTGTTCCTCAATTAATGAAGAAAGGGAAAGATCTTCAACTATCTTAATTTTGACAGAATACAGAATAACACCTGAACGTATTGCACAACAAAGAGAAAAACTAGTGGAGTGCGTGTTTCAACTCAATATCACAACAAATTTTAACTCTATGCTACAAGAGAAGCGAACAGAATACTTAAACCATTAAAACTATGAGAACTGTGCATTCCACCCTGAGAGTGAAATTTTAGTGATAGGGTATCGGGTCAAAGTGCGTTCAAAATGGGGTGTAGTGGAGCTTTGCACTGATACAGTGCTTTGTGAATTACTAGTTGGCTTCAGTATCTGGAATCGATGTGAAGTAAATTCGCTGTATGCTGCATAAAACTGAAGAATTAGGAAGCATTTATAATCTACCTCTCGTTATGGATGGGAATCAGTTGATACAGACTGATTCAGAACTCCCGAGCATACAGAGATAATGCCTCAAGCCTTTAACCCTCATGTAAAACGAATCGTTTCAAAAATCTAGTCTGTGAACAACAGATGAACTCGAAGGCGATTTCGTATTTCTAGTCTACTTTTACAGAATAGGAGATATTAAAACACATAATTCCTTCCCTTTAGATCTTCCAAGTAGCCATAAATCATAGAATATATTCAGGGTCAATCAAATCTAACCAGCAGTTTTTTAAATAATCTGATCACTAGACGTGTAGACACCTGACTGAACGTTTCGTTGGAGTGAATGGTTCTAAAAAGACTTGAAATGACCAAGGTCTTTATGAATATATAAACAAAGTTGTAGTTTGTAGACGGTTAAGTTGACGGCAAACTTTCGACTGTTGTACCATTTCTTTCTGTTTCTGAGGAACCAAGCAACCACCAAGATTGAATTTTATTATTTGTTCACATTATATTACATTGACACTAACAAGCGCACTAATCAAAGGTTATTAGCTGTTTGGTATCATAGATGACCGTCAAACGTTTACTAACCATAAAGCATAATCAGTGAACTAGGTTAGGAAACGAGAAGACAAACGCAGGAAGAGATGTTTATTATTGACATCTTGTACACCTCCACTAAGACAGTCATTTGGACAACATGCTTTATTTCCTCTTCTGCTTCTATCTTGATTTGCTCTTCATACGCCCACATTGTCTCTTGCGTTTCTATGGGTAGAATCTTTACTTACTGCTGATAATTGCCTATGATTTCTGCCGCCCTCTCAACATATGCTACTTATATCCAGTTTCTGATCAGCACCACCCACTACACTAGCAATTGTCCGGGATACAGCCGTAGTCCTATATGCATCCACGCCATTGTTTAGCATTTGGAGTTTAGTGTCTTTTAGTTTAGATCTGAGATTTGTTAGTCAGAAACCGTCAGTTAGAATACTGCCGCTATCTATCATTTCTTCATCACTAACAAACTTTCCTCAGTTCCTTTTAGTGTGAAGTACATCGAACTGAAATTCTGAAAAAGGATCACTAGTAACTTTTTTGAATGAAGCATTATTCTATATGAAATTTTAAATGAAGCTGAGAAAATGGAGATAACGGGAATGATATCTTTTTTTAGGGAAGATTTAAATAGGAGATTCCGTCTTGGTTGCTTAAAGGAACCAAAGTTGATATGTTCTAAACAAATCCACTGCTTGAGCTGGTAAAATTAGGGCATATTGTTTATGAACTCGATCATGAATAAGTGAAATGGTTGTTCGATATTTAGATTACCCTGTTTTGTCAAAACATTTTCTACCTATTCATTCCAGCTAGTATGAAGCGACTCTGAAGGTCAATTCAGCAACTGTTTTGGGATAACCAATCATTTTCCTTCATTTTCCCAGACGAAATACTGGAAGCTGATTGGCTGTTTCAGCAATTATTAGCATAGCCTTTAGAGACCCTCGTAACTACGTACCTATCTTAGTAGAAACTACAAGTTAAATGAACTTACTTTAGTATTTAAACTGTTTTAATTAGTACTGAATAACAGATAATATCGTTTGCATCTTGAGTATTTTTAGTTGAGATACTACGAGACTTGGTATCTTCGGAAATCGTTCTTTCGGAATTAACTTTGTTATCATTGAAAAAGGTTCACATATTCTGTGGTATGACTTTTCAATATTTTTTGTAGCTATTGTTAGCTAACAAGGTTTACACATCATACCATGTTTTAATTCTGATCACAGATCATTTGATGTTTCTCTTTGGTTTAAGGGCTTATTTTTTTCCTTCAAAAAATGATTCTCGGAATCATATCTCACTTTCATTTTCTGTCAGCATATGTAATCAGATGGTAGTATCAAAAGCTGTTACACATTAAATATGGTTCATACGGCTGTGCATAAGTGTGTGCTGAGTCTCTAAGTTGTATTGTCTTCTCGAGTTTTCTCACCTAAAGTAGTATCCTCCCTATATTCATACAGTGCTTCGAAAACAATAATACCTGTATGCTGGGTAAATTTTCATTCTTGTTAAGTATGCGTGCTCGTGTTCAGTCATTAAGCTTTTCCATATTGTTCTTTAGTTGAAACATTTTTGTCAGGTGTACTGCTACTGGTTTAAGTAATGCTTCGTTTCTTCCTGATTTAGTAACATGATGGATGGTGGTGCTGTCAATGTGGTCAACAGCCTAGAACTTAAAATTTTTTACAGGGTTAATCCGCTTCCAGTTCTTATACTATCCATGCTTAGTAGGCATTATTTTAAGGGTAAGGTGAACTTGATGGGATGTTTTAACGCCGAAACCTCAATTTTGTAAGTATTTGTACTGGATGATGGTTGAAGGTGAAATGAAAATTTGGACAGTGGTCGAATTCGAACCAGCGACCATCTGGTTTCCCATCTGATGCTCTTGATAGTTGGACAAAACCCTTAGTGACTGAAGTGAAACAAAAATCTGGTCAGGATTCGGACCTCTTAGCCTATTTGATAGAGCATCGGGTGGGAAACACTGCGGTCACTGATTCGAATCTGGCCGCGGTCAAAATTTTCATTTCACCTTCAATCATCATCCAGCACAAATACTAGTCTGCCAAAACACGGCTATCGCAGATAGTCGGAATGACAATTTTTTGAAGTGTTGTGCAAACAAATGAAATATTGTGCCTCAGTGGTTCAGGGAGCTGACTATCAACCATTGGGTCACGGACTCGAGCCCCACCCCGTTTATCAAGGTTTGTTCAGCCAGGTAATATCACCAGCCCTCATACAGCAGATGTGGCTCATTGTCTACTGCATAGATGTGCACAAGGTGGCTAAGTATGTTTCGTTCAAATGAGGAATTGGTGCTGAAGTTTACTAAACTATCTTCACATCCAAATGGCATGTGACCACTATTAAATATGATCCTAATCATTCTTCTTTTCAAGTAACACTTCAAATGTATTCTCTTATTGTTTACTCAACCAAACGGGTCAGTTGTCTAGAGTTACCTCTGTTGAGCTTCGCTTAAAGTTGTTATATACCATATTAACTCATCCCAGCCACCTGAACCGAGTTAGTTAGCCAAAGAAGTGGATCAATACAATGAATATTATTCACAAATTGTATGAAGCAGATTTATTTTCAACACAAATTGGTAGTGTTTTTTTTCTTTTTCAATTGTCTAACTGTAATGTCAGCATCGTTTCCATTGAAAATTATCAAGTGAAAATCAGAGGTTATTATTTGTTATATGAAAGGTTAGAAAACTGGAAAAAATTTACCACTATTGGATAATATGATCAATCGAAAACCATCTACTTGATTGGGTCTATCTTGTTCATCAGTAAAAATAATAAAAACATAGTCATATTTTTCACCTTGTTTTCAAATTGCTTTCATTCAAAATATCTTGTGAACTGACTAGTTTGTGTCACTTGGATTGATCGTACCAAAACTCAGTGATACCTAACTGTATTAATCCTGATGGTCTGCACAATAAATGCCGAACTTCTTCATTACTCTGAAAATTATATTCTGTCGGTCTATAATACTTTCTGTAGACACTTGTCAAGTGGTTGATTACAAGTTTCATGTGCCACTGAAAGTTTCAATACTCAACCGGTCAGGTAATCATGAGAGACAGGGTTTAGTGTATACATTTAAAGATAAATCTCCCAGTTGTCTCTCACATTAGTGTTCCTATCAGTCTGACTTTGTCTAAATGTTGAATTATCGCCAATATTTTGCTCGTTAATGCATGTGATTGGGATGTACTATGCTCAGTTCTCAGTTAATCCTTTATATAAAATTTTTATTTATTTATTTAAAATCTTATAATACATTAAAATTGAATTTTTGGAGACTTTTCTAATCAGTCTAACAGTATGGTTTTATAGAACAATATTCCAATTAAAAAGCTCTTTATTTCCTACTTCATTGAAAATTTTAGGAGGAGTATGCCGTTCCAGAACAATTTAAAACAAATTTTACCGGAAATGGATTGAAGACAATATGCACAGATGGGCGATAAAAATCGCTGTCAACAGCCAGTTGTTCACAAATGCTTAATTTATTTGAAGTAATCTCTATCAAATAATTATCTACATCCCCGCTTCATCTGCTAGTATACAGTATCTTTGTTCAAAAATATTAAAACCTTGCCTTTTTTAAATGTTATTATATACGGATCTCTTTTCATCCAAATGTGTTCATCTGGTCTGTTCACTATTCAATTGATGCCAGACACGTTTGTTTGATATCTTACAGTTGGCTTTCTATTGCTTATTTAATGATAAACTTTCAATTTACCAATCGCATTCCTTATTTCAATGGCTTTCTTAGCATGCATATATATATATATATATATATATATATATATATATATATATAGTAAACTACACTGTATTAAGCAGATCTAATTTATCCCGTTCAGCATGAAGACGGTATTGTCCTGCTGAGTGAACACGCTGAAAAATGCAGGCCCTTCTGAGCGTGTTGAGGATGTATTGCATGTGTCTCACTGGCACCTGTCAAATGTAAGATGATCGTCTAGGTCTGGTCAGATGCAAGTACTCCTATTTTAATGATAGGGAGCCAAGTGTTGCAATGTGTCGACTACTTCACTTACTTGGCGAGCTGCATCAACCCGAACAGGCTAATCCCTGATGAAATCTCAGCTCGGATAGAGAAGGCCAGTTTATCATTTGTTGCCAACTTGCGTCGCATATAGCGCTAACTGTCGAGATATCCGATTATCTATCAAAGGCTAAGTACACTACGCTTCAGTCCGTTCTGTCCTATTATACGGTCATGCGAAATGGACGTTGAAAGTAGAGGACATAAAGCAATAAAAGGGTATGATCACAGGTGTCTTCGTAGCATTGCTCACGTTTGGTGTGAGCAGTGTTGAGGTCAGGAGAAGGGTACTAGGTAAGACAAGCAGGTAAGTCGATTGATGAAATTGTGAATGTTCATCGAGTGAACTGAGATGGCTGGCCAGACCAAGCGATAACCGTTTCCTTGAAGAACACCAACTTTAAGGAATGAAGATGAAGACGTAAAAACGGTTAATATAAAAGACAAAGAAGTGTCAAGATTCTGGCCTTTACAGTGAATGAAGCTATATCGTTATTGTTTATAAGTGACTAGAAACAATATAAGCAGTTGTTCACTGATGTAGAGAATAAAGAAGTATAGGCCTCGACACTGAATACAATTAGATGTCGTTTGAAGTCATCGGTCCCGAGCTCGAATCCCAGTGGGAACAACACTCATTGGGAGGCAGACACATCCAGCTGACGAGTCCCAAATAGAACGAAATTTGCATCCGGGATTTCACTGCTAGCCACTATCCATCATTACTAGATGGTGTTTGACTTTTTCATTTATGCCTAGAGTGCCATGGCTATCCTATTTCAGCGGCTCTGAATGCGTAAACTAGAGAAATTATGGCTTCTAGTAATCAAAACTGAGTGGTATTTCATCACTCAAATATAAGATAAATGAGTTCCACCTCTGAGTGTGCATTTAATTAAATTATATTTGATGTGCATGAATTTCGAAATGTATGCGCAAGGTTTTTACTGATTCCTGCCTACTATCCGAATATATGCCAGCTAATCACAAGGCTCCTTGACTCCAGCAACAAAGAACAAGTCGGTTCATCATGAGTACTGACATTTGACCTTGTTCAAAACCAAGGATTAATTTACATATAAAGTTAGGTCATCCAATAAACGAGCTTCTTTGAAAAAGGCAGGAGAAGTGGTTTACTAGTCATGATATAAAAAACCCTTGGGAACGCCAGCTTCAAACCGTTAGTAAAATCAGCCGTTGTGGTAAATATTAAGGTTTGCTGACAGGAATGGAATTTTCGTGGTTCATAAGTGGATTTTCTGCCAGATTAAACAATACTCCTAGTTGCTTTTGTTAAGAACTTCATCGACCAAAATATTAAACTCATCTGAATGGTTTTTTAGGATGGTTTGTATTTAAATGTTTTGTTACGAGTAATTTTTGAGTGACTTTAAATGCTATCCTAGCAACGATTGAAATAGCCAGTTACTTTTCTTTATTTTGGTTGGTAAGGCAGACTTTCATTAAGTGTAGAAGTCTGGTTGGTTACTTCAGTCGTTGTTAAAGTAAGTAGTAATTCTTTCGTTCATTCTCATTACAGCTACGCTGTTCCATTTCTCTTAAAAATCACTTCACTAATTTGCTGTGGTTCCTGAACATTCAGCAACGTACTGTGTCAAGAGTCAAACATGTGCTGCCTTTGAATCCCTAAAGTCCTGGTTGCACTGATAACCTGGCCATCCCTCAAACTTTGGGAAACATTGTAACGACCAGTTGCTGATAGGTTTTCGTCTAGCCTCTAGACAGGTACGTTGTTGCAGGGACACGCAGAGCAGTATGAGTTTGGTGGTGGCCACGAAAATCTGGAAAAGGAAGAGAAGAAAGGTGAGCCGACGACTCAGCAAGTACACAGGACTCACTTACACTTAATAATGAAAAATAACTGACAAACGGTAGAGCTGGACAACGAAGAGGTGAGGCAGTCTAGAAATCGAAACTCTAAGGTGAATGAGTAAGATTTCGAATGCGCTACATCACTCTTTGCATTTAGATTTCTTGGATCTAACTGCTGTTTGTTTTGGTGTTCTTAAATCGCCAGGTCAAGGATTATTATAATAGCTAACACTCCTGTATTGCAATGTGCCAGTCGCTTTCAGGAGTACCGTCCTCAGGTGTTATCTTCACCCTTTCCCAGGTAATCACAATATCCAGGTTGAATAAGATGTAAATACACAGCAGGTGTATATGGTACGCATAGTAGCTCATATGTTTATGATTCCAAATCGCCTGTTTATTTTCTGAATAAAGTAACCCGAATTTTATTAGAAAGACAGCTGACAAGATTATACAAATGTCGGAAGTAGTGGGAAATGAAAGATACCAACTAATATTTAAGTGATATGTACAAGTTTCAGATCTGTAAGCGATATATATATATATATATATATATATATATATATATATATATATATATATATATGTATATATATATATATATAATTACTACACAACAGACCAAGTTACAGTATCTCGTGTCAGCACATCAAGGTAGAACACACTAAGATACAAGGTAGAGACATAAGAATAGACGCAGCGAAATAGGGAACAGAAGACGATTCAAGAATTATAAAGTGTGGCGTGACAATTAAGATTAGGGTAGGTGTGCTTGTATCTGCACCACGTGGCCAATACTTCTAAGTCATCAGTGGTTACAAAGCTCTACCATTATAAGCTATATTTCACAGTCATATAGTCGAAGACGGCAAACCGCCATTCTGTAAACTCAACCCTTGGTAAATAATGAGGTATCATGGAGGCAATGTAAGTGATGGAAGCCAATCAAGCCTTTTGTACCCATGCAGGGATTTAATCGGTCACTTACTCGAATTTTCAGGTATATGAAGTAGTCAGAGCACTCAACCACTGTACTCCGAACCGTTATATGAGGTATTAATAAATAAATGAATATTTTATTCGTATATTAGTAATTTAACATCAGAGAAGCCAGTTTATAGGCATCATCACATTGATATATGTTGGAAAATGCTCAAGGTTTTATGGGACCTGAATGGTACAGAAGGGAGGTCATTAAATTAGATTAAAAGCATTGGAAGATTACACAAGTCATGAAATGAACAAGAAAATACCACTTTTCAGCGCATACAGAGTGTTAAAGTTTGGATTGTTTTCAGTCATACTTTCTTTTTCCACCATTAGTGGCACCAAGGTCGCGCTAAATTCCAAAGTTTCGTTACAAGCAGTCGACTTGTTTGATTCGCCATGCCCCGTTACGCTTGATAAACATCTATTTTATCATAAATTCTTATGCTTATGCCTTCGGGTACCAGAAGAACCAACAATGACGACGTCGAGAATCCGTAAGTTTCCACATAATCATGTAATCCAAGTGAATGTCTATTCAAGTATTATCATTCACAGCAATATAGATTTACGCCATCAGAATTAGATATTGTGGTGCAAAGGAATAAACATTTGATAAAAACTGCGGACCAGTGGCAATGAGTTTTCCATACTGTTCATGTTGAGGTATGCAGCATTGTCAAGGAGGTATATTCCCTGTTAGACGAGGTACTATAGAAATCTGTTGCATATTATTACTGTGAATATGTTCACTTTAGAGCTAATAGGTGAGTTGATCTCCTGGATTTTACTGCCTGTCCAAATTTTCGATACCATTATGATAGTCCAGAAATTTGAGTATTTTGAGGTTTGATATATATTCATATGGTGAGAGGATCAAATGAGTGGATGGGATTGGTAATTCTTGCTTATTGGACAGTAATTTTCGTGGGAGCATAGCTTCATTGCTTCGAAAAGAAGTGGAATGTATTATCGTGAACTAGTCCTACACCAACAATTTGTATTTGAGTGATGGAAAGTGTATCACAACATTCTGAAATTGTTACACAAGGTGTTCAAAATTGAAACGATCAGGTTAGGAAAACTTACATCTTATTAGAATCTGCATTTTACGGAGATGTGTCATAAGCTCTCTCTACGTCTGCCATCACAAGATAATTTCGGTAGTTAGGTCAGGAGATGGAGATACCAATGAGCGCGTTTATGACAAAATCAAATAAGAATAAAGTGGGAAAGGCTGCTTTGCTGGACACTACTTGAACAGATTAAGTCTCCATAGGCTATGACATGCCAACATCTGTCTAAGTACAAAGGATGTAAGTGCTTGGCACCCGATTTTCTGATAGTACCATAAATATTCCCAACCGAAAGAGTCCAGTGTCATACTCGGGTCAAGGATTTTGGCCAGAGTCGATCGCATGTAAATGTCCCGGTGTTTCAATACTCGACAGACATCAAATATCCTGTCGATACCCTGATGGCCAGGTCGGTACTCTGCCTGGTTTCCTCAGGTCTTGCTTTCCAAGGGATCCAACTAAGCGTCTAATGGCTATCAAACCCAAAATATTAGACTGT